GCTGTGCAGCTGGCAACTTTTCCAGTTGCTTTGACCAGTGCTGCAACGTATGACGGTCAGCAGACTAGTGATCGTGACATTTGTCGCGTCTTCCGAAAAGATTACCAACACGGCGGTCGCTTTGACAGAAACAGATGGTCTTAGCTGTTTCAAGATTCCATTGATGCCTGTTTGTGTGTTGAGTACCACCACCCTGTTTCGCGCACTGCAAGTCTAGTTTACGATTTGGTACCTCAGAATTATACATCATGCAACAGAGGGAAATCAGCCTTCAGTTGAATTTCCACGACGAAACTGATGAAAGAGCATCAACTTCGATAAGCGTCAAAATTTTATCACTTCAAATTTCTTTTGACTACACAGCGCTATAGATTTAAAGTACCTCAACAAACACTGAAAATGAAAACGCAGCAAACCGGTTCTATTCAGATGCGCAATTTGCATCATTTCGTAGCACTGTCGGAATTTTTTTTATTTCCCAAAAAAACGAAGAGAAATGTGAACTTTTGGAAAGTTACGTTAGGGTGTAACACAGTGGAGAGTTTTAGGGATGCGCCGATGCGCACTTCCCTTTAAAACTGGTAATATGTTATCAAAAAACGGTACGTAAAAATTATGCTAATTTTGGGGGAAACAGAAACTGCATATGCAGTTTTCAAGAAAAGAGAAACTGGGAACCACATGGGCAAAAAGAGGGGCTTTTGAGGCACCCGAGCTTCTATTCAATCGTGTCATGCAGTTTAATTGAACTCGCAGAAAGTAGTGCAGTTTTCTATGATGAAGCTTGCAAAAAAATATGATGTGTACCAACTCTGGAACGACCACTACTATTTTGCTACAATACTGTCATATTTTCCAGGATGACGCATCGTCTCATGAAACCAGCAAAAAGGCAGAGCATGATGATGACAAAAAGCGGAAGGACGAAAAGGTCAGTGCTGACGACGCAGAGGGCAGCGAGGGAACACAAGGAAAAGAGGAAGAAAAGAAGAAGGATAAATCAGTTCCTAAGAAGAAAGTGACCAAAGACAAGAAAGAAGAAAAAAGTGAACTTTGACAGTAGTGCTAACTTTGTTTTAGAAGTGTTGCAAATTACTGTTTAATAAAAGTAACAATTAAACAGTAATTTTAAAAATAGAATGATTTCATGGGCTACTGTTATGGCTAAAGCAAGGTCTTACAAGAAAGTGGTTTTGAGAAAGCGCTTATTTTTTTGCTGTATATTTCTGTTATCCCATCCAGATTTAGAATGATCCAATTTAGATTTCAGCCTGTTAGAATGATCCAATTCTGGCTGGATGCTACATAAAATTGCCGGTCTTAGAATCCTAAATTTGCATAAAATGAATCCAGCTGAAATCTAAAACTGCCCCTATAAATTAGTTAAGCGAAGCCGGAAGTACAATATCAGCTGCAAAAATTAATTTTATAAACTCACTTTGTAAAGAAATGCTCCGCTCACACTAATTCTTTTGGAATAATACATATGTTTCTGAAGCAGCAGTTGCACATCCTACATTTTTAAGCGCTTCTCGTACTGATACAAATTAAAAAGCAAGAGGCGAAGCAATATCCGTGTATATGTATGCACGCGTGCATCTCTCTGTAAAAAACAACTGTAGAACTAG